TAAGATCTAATGTTCGAGCATTCTGCGCTATACACTGCAAGATCGACAATGGCTATTTCAATTATCTATTTAAACAAAGCAAAGAGGGAAAATGATCGTGTATGTATACAAATGTAGTGGAGTTAATAGTATTGCCGTTATTTAAATTAAAGGACAATGAGATTTTTAACATCTTAATTAATATATAAATTTAAATAAATGCGATAGTATTAACCCGTTGTCAATATCGTACCTATCGAATCGTTAAGGTTTTAAACAATATGAAGAGTAATGTCGTTTTTTATTGGTCACTTCAAATTGATTCGCTTTCCCACTTTGCTAAAATTAATGTACATAGTCACGATGAGTTTATATTTGCACTCGAACAATTAATAATTCTAACGATGAGAAACGTACATGAAAGCACCATAAACATTGGTTGAAATTATTGGGTGGGGTTTAGTATAATCTAGTGAATATTACATTGGTTATGAGTTGGTTGAACTTTCACGTACGTTTAAACAAAGTACTAATACCGCTAAAAATCTGAGAGAATAGTTTCGTCTCACATATCTGCTGGCCCGATGTTGCCAATTTACAATTCTTTTTTTTTTAAATGCGGAACGTTCTTCTTTCTACATATTTTAATGATCTTTCATCAGTTTGTATTTTAAATACGCACTGCTCACAAGCCTCGGAAGAGTAGTGTTACCACAGGCCTGACTTACTCTTCCTTCGTCTCAAGATAGTTTCAATGTACCTAACGATCGACCAATTTCAATTTAGCTTTCAAAGAGCAAAGGAAAAATGACTGCAGTCATCTGCGCGTTGGTTCTACAAAATTTGTACTATATCACGTAACATCAAATATCTCATAAAGTGGAAAAGTCTAGCGTGTTATTCTTTTTGCTAGTACTAAATTGGCAAAAGGAATCGATGGACTTGGTGAAGTAACGCGGAGACCGGAAAATCTCGGAAAACGTTTACGAGACACATGGTTATCGAGAGCAATTTGGTAGACGTTTTATATTAATAAACGCCAACATGATTTAAAATCTACGCTCTCATCAATCGAGAGTCAGAGTTTTTGGCTGTTCCCAGGTGAACCCATCTCGTCCAAAGTGTCCATACGTACTAGTTTGTTGATAAATAGGATTACGAAGATTTAACTCCCTGAAACAAAAATAATTATATATAATCTAATTTTTAATTCTCGATCATACTTATCATTAGTTTTTGATAAATTATAATTACATATAATTATACATAGTATAGGTATTATACTTACTTAACGATTTTTCCCGGCCGTAAGTCGAAATTTTTGTTAACTATATCTAACAGTTCATTTTGGGGTCGCTTAGAAGTACCGTAGTCAAAAACTGTGATTGAAAGAGGTTCTGCTACTCCAATGGCATAAGACACCTACAAATTCATTATGTCGTTAAATCTTGGAATGTATGTATTTACAGGAAGCAAATAATATTTATTAGTCAACAGTGCTCACCTGCACGAGGCAGCGTCTGCAAAGTCCAGCTTTTACCAAAGATTTAGCAACCCATCTTGCGGCATAAGCAGCAGATCTGTCGACCTTTGTGAAGTCTTTACCAGAAAATGCGCCACCACCGTGAGCTCCCCAACCACCGTAGGTATCAACTATTATTTTACGGCCAGTGAGACCAGCATCACTCTATAAAGATACATGTAATTTAAGTTATGGAAAAGTTAAATAAACATAGAAGAAAACTTGTGTTTTACCTGTGGTCCGCCAATAATAAATAATCCACAAGGATTGACATGGAAGATCGTTCTCTCATCCAGATACCTTGCTGGAATCACTTCCTTGATGACTTTTTCCATAACAGCCTTACGTAATTCGTCTAAACCAATTTTCTCGCTGTGTTGCAGTGATACGACCACTGTATGAACTCTCATAGGTACACAGGCTCCGTGATCCATAAGATATTCGCAAGTGACCTGTTTTAAACATTTTCATCGTATCAGTGATGGTTTTACATTATATTACGAGACATAAATTATATATATATATTAATATTATTTGCAATATGATTATTCTCAGTAATTAGTTTACATCATGGCACTCAAGAGTAGCAAATACTATGTGACATCATAGAATAATCTTATACAAATATACATGTGTTTTTAATTTTCATTGAGCTGTAAGAAATGTATCATTGTAATTATGTATAAAACGTAATTATATACCTGTGTTTTTGAGTCTGGTCTTGCCCACCATAGTTCACCACTGCGCCTCAACTCCGCAATCTTCTGGTTTAATTTGTGTGCCAGCACAACGGTCAGTGGCATGCATTCGTCTGTTTCATCTGTCGCGTATCCGAACATTAGACCCTGATAGAAAGATTTCAGTTAAACTTTATGGGATGTAAATTTAAAATAAAAAGTAGATTTGTTGACTCTTCAAGTAATTTCACAATATTACACAGTATTTCTAACGCAAAAGATCAAGCGTTAATACAGGACATAAAATGCATACAATATAATACTATGTGTTAATTAATTAATTCGTATTTGAAATTGACAGTAACTGTGATTATTAGGAAAATTGTTTAGTAATTTACAAAAGGGTGTCACACAGAGCAGATTTAGTAGCCAACTGTAACATTGGGGCAAAAACTAGGTTTAAGAATTTGTAAACAATGTTTATTATGTTTGTAACATACACTCCGACATGATGACATGAATTCATAAAGATAATACCTCAAGTTTTAAGTAATCAAGTACGAATGGTAAAATTAGTCAGTAGTTAAAAGTCAATTATCTGTTATGAAATGTTGTTTGTGAAATTTTAATGATAAACAAAATTGTAAATGTGTATATAAACTTGAAATTTTACAAACAAATCATGAATAACTGCATACAACCATGATTAGTGTCAAGATTAATAAGTGATTGTGCATTTTAATACAGTCAACACGATAAGGATAATCTGTGCATGAACAGTAGAAGAAACAAAATATATCAACCAGATACGAGAAAAAAGTAAGAATAAAATATGAAGTAAGCTTCAATGGGTATACAGAAAAAAAAAA